CTCTCTCACATAAATAAATAAAATCTTTAAAAAAATATGAGATTTTAAAAAAAGAGCAAATACTACCAAAAAAGGTAAATGCAAACAGTACTGAGAACAGACTAATTAGAAACACTGAATAGGACTTGAGGTTGCTCCATGGTTTTAAAAGAGAAAACCCATCAAGAAGACATGTTAATTTCTATAGCTCTAAATAAAATAGCTCTGAAATGTATTAAGCAAAATTTAGTGGGAATACCTAGAGAAAAGTTTCTTAACATGATCATAAATTTATTTATTATAATCACTTATAGAAATGGAAGTGCTAAGTTTTTAAAAATAATTAAGGCTAATTTCTGTTGGGGTGAATACAATGGTGTTTGTTCTATTAATATTACTTATATCTACATTACAAATCTAATTTTATATGTGTTAAGCATATAATATAAATTAATAAATAAAAGACATGATCAATACAAAACAACAGATGATGCAGTAACTATATAGAGAAACATTAAAGTTTGCAACTTTTTGTGTTAATTTTGGTATAATATTGTTAAAATATACATACACACGTTAAACATTTGCTTTTTAAGTAACATGAAAATTCACATAACTTGATTATATTCAAAACTAAACCTTATGAATTAAGATGGAAGAAATCATAAAATATATTGACTGTAATGATATAAAAATTTTTAAAAAATGAAACACTAGGAGATTGTAAAAATGAATGCATCCATCAAACCATTTGTACAAATAGGAATTCTTGGCTAAAGGAGAAAAATAAATAAAAATTATAACCTTGACTTTCAGAAGAAAAAAGGAAAAGGGTAGAAAAGCTTTAACTATGACTAAATAAGCTTCAAAAAGCAATAAATAAAAATTAGCTTCAAGAGGTTAGTAATTATTAAATGCATTGAAAATGTGACTAAAAGAATAGAGTTTTTTTAAATAAAAAAATAGAAAAATGATAGGCAAGAATATTCAGAAAGAGACATAGCTACAGGCATGGAGGAGATTAAGTAATCATACAATTTAGTTCTTGCATAAAAATTACCCAAGATGTCTCTGTTTTGTCCAGAGAGAGCAGCGTACTTCAGATTGTAGGTGTTAACAAGCAATTTCTTTGCATTTGTTTTGCTTATTTGGTAATTTTCTTCTGTGCCTAGTTTAAATTTAAGTTTTTTTTTTTTTTTTTTCATAATCTCTACCAAACTCACGACCCTGAGATCAAGAGTCACATGCACCACCAACTAAGCCAGCCAGGCATCCCATGCCTAGTTTAAATTATATAAGGCATAGATGCTAATAGTATGTTAGGTATTATAATGTGTAACTTTTTTCTGGTGTTAATGTGAAGTATTGTTTGATGTGAGATATAGACCATAAACATCTAAATATTTTTTATTTTTATTTTTTGTAAATAAGCTCTATATCCAATATAGGGCTGAAACTCATGACCCAGAGATCAAGAGTTGCATGCTCTATGGACTGAGCCAGCCAGGCGACCTTAAATTTTTTTTTAAGATTTTTATTTCTTTTAAAAGAATTTATTTATTTATCTATTTGTTTATTTATTTAAGGTTGAGAACAGGGTCAGAGGGGAAGACAGAATCCCAAGCATGCGCCACACCCAGCACGGTGCCTGACAAGGAGCTTGATCTCACAAACCTAAGATCTTGACCTGAGCAGAAATCAAGAGTTGGACACAACCTACTGAGCCACCCAGGCGTCCCAATGTGCTCTCGCTTTTCATCTGTGAGATAAATAAAGAAAATCTGGCCTTACACATCTAGAATTTAAAAATGAAGAAGTATTCTACCGGCCTTTTCAGGTATTTGTCAATATTATTGACACTCCACCAAAAATCAACAAGTGGTAATTTCTTAAATGTTATTATAATGTGGAATCTGACCTTTTTATCTCTCTCTCTAAGATTGGTATTAATTGTAATTTTTTTTGCAGGATTTTTTTTAAGTAAACTCTATCCCCAAGGTGGGGCTCAAACTCACGACTCCGAGATCAAGAGCTGCACGCTCCACTAACGGAGCCAGGTACCCCAAGCCTCCATCTCTTAAGTTAAAATCCTTTTGTCTATCTTATACTTTAATATCACTGCAGATGATTTTGTGGCATCACACAGTAATCATTCAGAAAATACTGGTCCAAGGAGTTAGGCAGACCTTCCAAAGGTTGACATAGCTCATGATATGGTATATGGTATTACAAAATCACATTCATTAATACCATCAGTAATCTCATGCACAAAAGACTAAGTATCAGAAAGCTGTCAAGTTCATGGTCATCACAGATACATTTTAATATGCTAACTTTTGGTCTGAACGTCAAATTAACAAAAATTACTACCAGTTTTCTTTATTGTCAGGTTTTATAAATCACTTCATTTTTGACAAGATGCTTACCAGATATACAGGTCTTCATCCATTTATTCAAAATTCATCAATTGTTCTTTCAAATAAAATGGGTATCCATAAAAAGGTGGCTAGTTTGGCTCACAACTCAAACAATCATAAAAGTGCATTTCCTGGAAACAACTTGATATTTCAGAATGAAGGAAAACTTTATGTGCCTTTCTCTCATTATATAAAATATTCAGAAGATAAATTTTAATATCCTGGCTGTAACAATTACAGTTTTGCAAGACATTACCAACAGGGTAAACTGGGCAAAGAGCTCATGGGATCTCTCCACATAATTTCTTACAAATGGATGTGAATCTAAAATTATCTCAAAACAAAAAGTATAATTTAAAAATTTTGAGGTGCCTGGAGTAGCTCAGAGGGTTAAGCCTCTGCCTTCAGCTCAGGTCATGGTCTCAGGGTCCTGGGATGGAGCCCCGCATTGTGCTCTCTGCTCAGCAGGGAGCCTGCTTCCTCCTCTCTCTCCCTCCCTCTCTCTCTCTCTCTCTCTCTCTCTCTGCCTGCCTCTCTGCCTACTTGTGATCTCTGTCAAATAAATAAATAAAATATTTTAAAAAATGTAAAAGATACATGTTTACTGTGGGAATCCTTATTTTTGTGACATCATTTTATGAAAAAGAATAATTCAATTCTAGGATACGAAGAGATTAAAACTCTAAAAGTATTTTTCTATTGAGAAGGAGAAATGACAGCAGGCCAGGATTTATCCCAGGGAAGGAAAGAGGAGGGCAAGCTACACCAGCGGCTCCATCTAGGATAATGTTTCATAATTCTTCACCAGGTTCTGATCACTCCACTTAAACTTAGATTTTGAACAAAAATTAAGACTCCTACACCTTGGGGTGCCTGGCTGGCTCAGTCAGTAGAGCATGTGACTCTTAATCTCAGGGTCGTGAGTTCAAGCCCCATGCTGGGCATGGAGCCTACTTAAAAGAAAAAATTAAATTAAATTAAAAAGACCTCTGCACCTCATATTATCTGAGCTCTATCTTTCCTAACTCTAACTTTGGTTATCGAGACTTTCTGAGACCTATGTTTATTTTTTCCCTCGGTTGAGAGCCAATGACTCAAATACTGAATCTTGTACTTGCTATTTTCATAATAACTTGAAATCCTGCTTCCTCACTTTCTAAATACTCATATAAAAGTGAATTTGTTTTTCTATTTTTTATGCAGTTCTATTCTAGATATCTGCCCACAGACGAAAAAGACATGTTACTATACAGTTCTTATATTATCCTGCCATTTCTCAAAATTTTGCTTTCCAAATAAAACTCAGAATCATTTAGTCAAGTTCCATGAAAAAAAAATTGGGCCCTGGCTCAGAATTATAAGTGAATCTATGTAACACCGCCCTTCTCAAAAAGAGAGTATTCCCAACCAGAAAAGTCATGTATTTTACAATGGCTGGAAAGATTTAAACCAAAGAATTACCTGTGGGATGTAGTATGGTAATTCAAAGAATGGAAAGTAATTTCATTTTCTATTTCTGTATATGTGAGTGTGTTTTCTTCATGAAAGCACAGAACACATTTCTAGTCTAAATATGCCAGTAAATAAAACTATTTTTGGTATGAATTCAACCTGGAAACCAGAGAAGGCCTCAGGAAATAAGCAAAAATGGATACTTCCTCCCAAAATCTACAGCTAGGATAGTCACAATTTTCTCACCAGTTAGCTTGTTGCATAATAAAAACTTCTAACCATGTACCATCTCTGTTCCCATGAACTCACCATTTCCCAAACTCTCCCCTGAAGCGGACTCTGCTGGCTCATTCTCTGGGAAACCAAGATTAAATCAGCCATGATTTCTGTCAAGTCTCTTGTTCTTAGAAGGTTAAGACAGACATTAAGAGATGAGCTCTAGTGTTGCTGTTTCTCCAACATCAAGGTTACTGTATAAAGAGTGTTCAAGTATTCTTGGGAAACGACATTAGAAAAGCCTCCATTCCCTAATTTCAACCTACTTGGAAGTACCCCCTCTATCACATTACCTGACAGATCTTCCATAACCCACCATCCCTACTAGAGAATGTCAGAGCTCTGAAAATGTGCTGGCAGCTCTCCTTCACGGGGACTAGAGATGTTGACTCTTAACCATTGGGCTCATGAACATTCCCATCACACATAAGATGTCTCCACTTTGGTGTCTGGCAATGCCCGACTTATTACTAAAGCCACACTAAAGCCCTAGGTGTGACTTCTGGTATCTCAAGAAGTATGAGTCTTGGCTAAAGATTTCACTACACTCCTACATACAAGGTTTCTATCCTGAATGTGTCCTCTGATGTCTGATGAGGTTTGATTTCCGACTAAAGCATCGCCCACACTTCCTACAAATATAAGGCTTCTCTCCCGAATGTATCCTCTGATGTCTTACAAGGTGTGACTGCCGGCTAAAGCCTTGCCCACACTCCCTGCACACATGAGGCTTCCCCCCTGCGTGTGCCTTCTGGTGGGTGATGAGAGTCAACTTATCACAAAAGCCTTGCCCACACTCCCCGCACACAAAAGGTATGCTACCTGAGTGTGCCCTCCTGTGTCTAAAGAGATTTGGCTTCTGGCTAAATCTTTTACCACACTCCCTGCATGTGAAAGGCTTTTCCCCTGAATGTGTTCTCTGGTGTGAGATGAGGGTTGACTTATCATTAAAGCCTCGCCCACACTCCTTGCATACAAATGGCTTTTCTCCTGAGTGTGTCCTCTGGTGCGTGATAAGGGTTGATTTCCGGGTAAAGCCTCGCCCACATTCCCTGCACACAAATGGCTTCTCCCCTGTGTGTGACGTCTGGTGTTTGCTGAGGTTTGACTTCAGGCTAAAGCACTGCCCACACTCGAGGCACATATAAGGTTTAATGCCTGAGTGTGTCCTCTGGTGGGTCTTGAGGTTTGATTTCCAGCTAAAATGGCGCCCACATTCTGTACATACGTAAGGTTTCTCTCCTGTATGTATCCGTAAGTGTCTAATGAGGTGTGACTTCTGACGAAAGCCACGCTCACACTCCCTGCACACATAAGGCTTCTCTCCCGAATGTGTCCTCTTATGCCTGATGAGATGTGAATGCTGGCGAAAGCCATGCCCACACTCCCTGCACACATAAGGCTTCTCCCCAGAGTGTGCCCTCTGGTGCGTGATAAGGTTTGACTTCAGACTAAAGCTCTGCCCACATTCCTTGCACATGTACGGCTTGACCCCTGAATGTGTCCTCTGGTGTGTGAAGAGGTTTGACTTCCAAGTAAAGCCTCGTCCACACTCTTTGCACACATAAGGTTTCTCCCCTGAGTGTGTCCTCTGGTGTGTGATGAGGTTTGACTTCCAGGTAAAGCCTCGTCCACACTCCTTGCACACATGAGGCTTGTCCCTAGAGGGTGTCCTCTGGTTTTTGATGAGGATTGACATGTTGCCAAAGCCCTGGCCCCACTCGGTGAACACGTACGGTGTCTCCCCTGCGTGTATCTTCTGGAGGCTGAGCAGGTTTGACTCCTTCATGAGGCCTAGCCCCAACTCCCCGTATTTGATTGCTCCAAATCCTGAGACTTTTACACCGTGCAACACTTTGTCTGTTTCCCCAAGGTCTGTCCTCTGGTCTCGTCTGGGCCCTGTGGCCGTCACTGCCCTGTCTTGCTCCGCCCTTACTGGCTGTCGTTGCAGTGGGCAGGACAACACCTTTGAAGTGCCACCCTTGCTCTTGGACAAGGGCTTGGAGTCTTCTGTCTCTTGAATTTCTGCTTTGTCACTCCAGCAGGTTTCACCAAAGAGTTGCTTCTGCTGCTGTTTTTGATCTTCTGGATAGTGTTTCCCTGGAGGGAGATGATTCCCTGCACATAAACTTGAGAAGAGCTGAGGAAAGTGACAGAACCACACGTGCTGGCTGAGGCCTTGCTGACTAGCGAATGCCAGTGGGCAGTGGGGACAAGGTGGAATGTTTTGCTTTGCTTCTGCTGAAGAAAGAACAGTTTTAGTCAGAGTAGCCATGGGTAGGGTTGCCGGAGCCATTTTGCTTTGCCCGTTGGTCGTTTGTAATACGTTTATATCACAACCTGTGTCCCCCTCAGACACCCTCGCATCATAACAAGAGCTATTTTTCATTTTACTTTATACACTATATTTTTTAAAAAAGATTTATTTATTTGCGAGCAAAAGAGAGAGTGAGTGAGAGAAAGAGAGCATAAGCAGGATGAGGGGCAGAGGGAGAGGGAGAAGCAGACTCCCCACTGAGCAAGGAGCCTGATGTGGGGCTCGATCCCAGGACCCTGGGATCATGACTTGAGCTGAAGGCAGAGGCTTAATCAACTGAGCCACCCAGGTGTCCCTATAAACTACATTTTTAATTACATGAGTTAGCAAACTTGTCAGGTAGGCCAAATTCAGCCTGCAACCTGTTTTTGTATGACCCACCAGATAAAAATGGATTTTACCTTTCTAGGGATTTCTTTCTAAGAAAGAGAAATAAATAAATAAGCAAACAAACAAACCAGCCAATGGGGCAACAGACAGCATGTGACCTGGAAAGCTTAAAATCTTTCCTGGGTGGCCCCCTGTCCTACTGCAATGTAGAAAACTCCTACCAAAAACTTATTTTCACAATATCTGACAGAGCAAAAAGTTTACTTTCAGAAATCAAACACATACAATACAGGGAGAAGTATTTATTCATGAAAAACACTGAGCCCTGGATAAGAAAAGCAGGAATCTGGAGCACTATTGCCTAGAGCAGCTCTCACCCTTCTGATCCCCAGCTTGGTTAGTATGGTAGTTAAATTCGGACAGGTCCTAAAACGATCAGTTCTGTTCCTGTTACAGAGGCAGTCACCTGATTTGGGTGGAAGATGAGAAACCAGTGCTGGGTGGACCTGTCAATAAATGTGGCTTAGGGAAGGCCACCAGTGACTGCTATCTGAGGTTGTAAACTTGGCAGGGACCCCCCCCCCCATCCAAACCCAAACAAAAAACAAAAGCCAAAAAAACACAAAACCAAACAAAAACAAAAATAAAGACTGGTAGACGATCCAGAAAAGTAGCAGGGGAAAACCTGAAAGTGAGAGAGCCAGGGAGGGGCTTGATAAACTCCATGCAACCCCAGGTGATTGGAAGGCTGTTTGCAAAAGCAGAGGAAATGGGTAGGGGCCTGGGCTACGCACATAACCCTGCCTGACACAGAGGCTATAATCATGTACAGAGGGAACATTAGAGGGATCGGTGCAAAGTAAAAAGCCAGACAAAACCTGGAAACTATCTGAAATTTGAAGGAGCTCCCCAACCCACCCATTTCTCCACTGACAGAGGTAGGAAGCCTTACTGGCTCAGTCTTTGAACACAGCCTATTGCTAATTGTTGCAGATCACAGAGCTCTGCAGATACAAGGCTGAAATCAGGAAGCCAGGATTAAAATTAAACACAAGAATACAATAACAAATCAAGCAAGCGGAAACATCACCTTCACAGAGAAAACATATTCCATATATTTAGTCTAGAAAAGTTACTAAAAGTCACAACAACAACGTCTAGGCAGGAAACATCACCAGCTATCAGAGGGGCTACAACATCTAAAATATCCAGTTTCCAACGGAAGAGGAAAGAGGGACCCAGAGTGAGGAAAAAATGCAGACAATAGAAACTGTTGCTGGGTGGCCCACATGTTGATTTATAGGGGGAAGAGAGTTCAAAGCTGTTACTATAAATGTATTTAAAGAACTAAAGAAAACAAAGTGTAAAAACTTAAAGGAAAGCATGGTAACTTAAGAAATAGAAAAACCTCAATAAAGGATAAAAACTATTAAAACTATAAAAGGAAACTCTGGAATTAAAAAATAAAATAAATTACAAAATTACTAGGAAGGCACAACAGCATATTTGGGTTTGCAACAGAACAAATGAAGTTGAAGATAAATCAATAGAAATTACCTAAACTGAAAAAGCAAAGAGCCCCAGAAACCTGTGGGACACCATCAGGTAAGTCAGTCTATCTGTAATGGGAATGCATGAAGGAGAACACAGAGAGAAAAGAGCAGAAAAAAATGTCTCAAGAAATAATAACTAAAAAAAGTCTGAAATTTGTTGAAAAACATTAGGCTATAAGTCTAAGAAGCTCAACGAACTGCAAGAAAAACATCAAGGGGGCCTGGGTGGCTCAATGGGTTAAGCCTCTGCCTTCAGCTCAGGTCATGATCCCAGGGTCCTGGGATCGACCCCTGCATTGGGCTCCCTGCTGAGCGTGGGAGCCTGCTTCCCCCTCTCTCTCTGCCTGCCTCTCTGCCTACTTGTGATCTCTCTCTGTCAAATAAATAAATAAATAAATAAATAAATAATTATTTTTTTTAATTTATTTTTTTAAAAAAGAAAAACATCAAGAGGGTGCCTGGGAGGTTGAGTCAGTTAAGCATCTGCCTCTGGCTCAGGTCATCATCCCAGGGTCTTGGGATCAAGTCCCACATTGGGTTTCCTTCTCACTGGGGAGTGTGCTTCTTCCTCTCCCTCTGACTCTCCCCAGACTTAAGCTTCTGCACTCTCTCTCTCTCTCTGTCTCTCTCTCAAATAAATAAATAAATAAATAAAATCTTTAAAAAAACCTTTTTTTGCCATCCTACTGTTAGACAGTAGGATGACAATAAACACATATCTTCCAAACACATATCTTCCAACCCTCAACATGAACAGCCTAGTGCTCCCATGAAACAGCACAGGGTTGCACACTGGACACAAAGACAGGTCCCATCCATATGCTGTCTATAAGAGACTTATTTTGAACCTAAAGACACCTGCAGAACGAAAGTGAGGGGATGGAGAACCATTTTTCAAGCCAACACACCTCAAAAGAAAGATGGGTAGCAATTCTTATACCAGACAAACTAGAATTTAAACCAAAGACTGTAATAACAGATCCAGAGGGACACTACATCATTCTTGAAGGGTCTATCCAACAAGAAAATCTAACAATTGTAAATATCTATGCCCCCAACATGGGAAGAGCCAACTACATAAGCCAGATATTAATCAAAATAAAGAATCAGATCAACACTCATATATTAATAGGATGTTTTAACACTCTTAAACAGAAGATCAACAAAGAAACAAGAGCTTTGAACAACACATTGGACCAGATGGACTTCACAGATATGTATAGAACATTCCACTCTAAAACAACAGAATACTCATTCTTCTCGAATGCACACAGAACTTTCTCCAAAATAGACCACATACTGGGTCACAAATCAGGTCTCAGCCAATACCAAAAGACTGAGATGATTCCTTGCATGGTATCAGACCACAATGCCTTGAAACTGGAACTCAATCACAAGAAAAAAACTGGAAGGAATTCAAACACTTGGAAGTTAAAGAGCATCCTGCTAAAGAATGAATGGGTCAACCAGGAAATTAAAGAAGAACTTAAACAATTCATGGAAACCAGTGAGAATGAAAACACATCAGTCCAAAACCAATGGGATACTGCAAAAGCAGTTCCAAGCCTTTCTCAAAAAAGTAGAAAAATCCCAAATGCACAAGCTAACCCTACACCTAAAGAAGCTGGAGAAAGACCAGCAAATAAAACCTAAATCAAGCAGGAGAAGAGAAATAGTAAAGATTAGTACAGAGACCAATGAAATAGAAACCAGGAAAACAGGAGAATAGATCAATGAAACTAGAAGCTGGTTCTTTGAAAGAATTAATAAGATTGATAAACCACTGGCTAAACTTACCCAAAAGAAAAAAGAAAGGTCCCAAATTAATAAAATCATGAATGAAAGTGGAGAGATTATGACTAACACCAAGGAAATAGAAACAATTATTAGAAATTACCAGCAACTGTATGCTAATAAATTAAGCAACTTGAAAGAAGTGGATGCCTTCCTAGAAACTTACAAATGACCAAGACTAAAAGAGGAAGAAACAGAAATCCGAATAGACCAATAACCAGTAACAAAATTGAAGCAGTGATCAAAAACCTCCCCAAAAACCAAAGTCCAGGGCCAAATGGCTTCCCAGGGGAATTCCACCAAGCATTTTAAAAAATTAATTAATTAATTTTGTATTAACATATAGTGTATTATTTGTTTCAGATAGTAAGATACAGGTCTGTGAATTGTCAGTCTTACACAATTCACAGCGCTCACCAAAGCACATACCCTCCCCAGTGTCCATCACCCAGTCACCCCATCCCTCCCACCCTTATCCCCTCCAGCAACCATCAGTTTGTTTCCTGAGATTAAGAGACTCTTATGGTTTGTCTCCCTCCCCAGTCCCATCTTGTTTCATTTTTCCCTCCCTTCCCTCCACCCACCCCCCCGCCCTGCCTCTTAAATTCCTCATGTCAG